TCAGAACATGGCCAAAGAGCCCGAAAAACCCACAACAACCACTGAAATTAATCTTTATCTAGAGATTAGGCTGTGTTTGGAAATAAGGGCAAGATAATTGTGGCACAAGCATTTATGTATCTAAATGAATTAATTTTGTGGGATATAGAGCCTTTGAAAGTGACCACTTAGGAAGGACTTGTCTCCTTTTAACCAAAGATGTTAAATTACCATACACATTTTTTCCCATTTAAGCAGACACTTCTTAGTTTCCACCCATTAAGATTCCACTGAAAAGAGATATATTTTACAGAGCTTGAAAATGGATCATTGTTCAGTTATTGAGAAAGTTTCAGGATAAATAACGAGGTAATTTTGCACTCATTTCAGCTCTGCATTAGACATTCAGGCTCTTCTTGCTTTGTTAAACATTTTCAGGTGTCAGTTATTGAGCCACACTCTTGATCTTAATGGCTCATTACATGCATTCCATTTTCTCCTATCTTTCTTTTGCTTACAATCAATTTTCTTTGCGAATGAGCAAAACCTACATTCATATTAAACAAGCGGGGGAGGGATACCGTTTTTTTTGCTTACTTTAATTTCAGACTGAAACACGCTGGAAATATTATTATCCTTTCCATTTAGACGGGGAAAGGCAAGCATATGCTGAGGCACAAAATGGAAACAACACGTTGGTGTGGGGGGGAGCCTGGAAGGAGTCTCTGGGACATTATAGAGTGGCAGATATTCAAGCACTCTAAGCAGCTCATTTCTTTTTCTCATATAATGTGACACACTTTTTATGTAATTACACTTGCAAAGAATATTCAAGCTTTAGCACGACTGCCAGGACAATTGTGGTGAAAGCATAGGCCATCATATCATACTCCAGCTGCTCTGTGATACACTGATAAAATAAACAGTTTACACATGATAACTGGGCAGCTCAGCCCCCTCATATATTTCTGCTTCCATTGTGATTATTAAATTCCTTCAACATATTAAATGACTTTGTTCCTAAAGTGACTTGGAGGATAACACTGTGAGAACTTGGTTATATAAAAACTGATTCTGTTCCACATACTGTATAGTTCAATTCACCAATGTAGTTGCAACTTCGTAACAAACTCTATAATGGAAAAGTTGCATGGTCTTGTCTCTAAACCCTAATAGAAAATACCCTCCTACACCCAAATTTTTGAAGCTGTTCATAGCTTTAAAGCATAAACTAAACTATTGCTCAGGGTATAGCTAATTTAAACTAAATTAATACCATAAATCACTATTCAGAAATATTTCATTTAATTATGTCATTCTGCCGCCGCCCCCCCCAAAAGGACTTACAATACAGAGTTTAAAATACTGATAGAGATGTTTCACAACTTGGATTTTTTTATTTTTCGATGGCCCCTAGTAAACATGTTTGAAGAGCTGAAATGTTTCTTCAGAATAAATTCAGATTATATTTGCAGTTTTATAAGAAAATGAATTTTTATGTTAGCTACCAAATCTCACTGCAAGAGACATATGTAGAGGCACCGGAGACTTTCAGAGAAAGAGGTAAGAGCTTCACTTCGACACAAAGTGGTAGAGCGGCAATAGCCACAGTTGTCATTATAAAGCAGTGTCTCTCAATCTTGGGTCCACAGATGTTCTTGGACTAAAACTCCCAGACGCCTTCACCACTAGCTATGCTGGGCAGGATTTCTGGGAGCCTTTTGTCTCTAAAAATGTTACAAAACCGGAGGAGACAACAAAGAAATTATGTGCCTACATTTCTGTGTTCAGAACATACAATTAGAGCAAAAGAATTGTGAGAAAAGAGAAGACTTTTCAACTGTAAACATTTATGGCAGCTCAAATAGATAAGCTCAGTGGTTTGGGTATCTGGTTGCAGAGTTCAATTCCTCGCTGTTTCTCCTTGACAGGGGCTGGACCTGATGATCCATAGTTTTCCTCTAGCTCTGAAGTTCTAAGATGATGAAATCTTGTTTAAAAATGCTCAATAGGCAGGGTCTCTAAATAAGGTACTTTCTCAGACTACTTACTGTGAAGGTAAGGAATTGTGTTGATTATCCATTCATCTGTCAACATCCCAGTTTGTGATGTCTCAACGCATTTCAACTGATTTGACGAGCCTCTTGATTCAATCCAACAAATTGTGTTCTTCTTGTAAATAAAATCCAGTGTTTGAATTCCATTCCCTCTCGTGAATCCAAGACTAGATACTCTAGTCCCATTTAGATATAGTATCTCAATAGTATCAGAATTCACAATCAGAAGAACTGGTGGTGAATCATTTGGTTCTGAAAGCAAATAAATAAAACGGCAAATAAATACAGGTGGGAGGAGGGAAAATGTTAATTGAGCAATAAACAACACTAGATCAAAATATGCATGTCCACGCATTCATTTTCCCCAAAGTTACACATGAAGTAAGTTAAGGTAAATTATTTCCTCCTATTCTTATTCTTGGAGTGTATTCAGATTCTCCAGAAATCCATGGCTTCTTTATTGATTCAATACATAGATTAGGCATTTGGTTATCCTTGGTCTGTCTTGAGATTAATATCCCATTACTGTAGCAGTATTCGTACGCAAGAAGACTAAACCCAGCGTTAGTCCTGTTTATAGCAGATACACTGGCCAGTATCCTGCTCGTGGTGGTATAACATAAAATGACACCAGTGTACCATAAATGTGTTGGGTGTTGCTCCTGGCAACAATGACTCCTCAGCACAACTAATTTCAGAATGCACCAGCAGAATTGCTTCAGGGATAGCACTTATGCCTCAACACTCATGCAACTACAGGAGATGCTACCTTAAGTTGTGCATGTATAGTTGTATGATAGGATTGTGGTATGTGAATGAGAATTGTTACATCAATTCCTACAGTGTTGTACAGTAGAAAGAAATGAAAGGAGGTTGTTAAACTCAACTAACTTATGTCAATTAAATTTAAACAGTAAAATATATTGTGGCTTCACTGTAACTTAAAGATTCCAATCTGACCTATTTAACTTGGTCAGATATAGGATGAAGGAAAGGTAGCTGCGGGGGGGGGGGGGGTCGTGGCTTCACTGTAACTCAAAGATTCCAATTTGCCCTATTTAACTTGGTCAGATACAGGATGAAGGAAAGGTAGCTGTAGAGGGGGGGGGGTAGAAAGAGGAACTTAACGCCATCCTAGTTCTTCAGATCACAACAAGATAGGAAGGCTGAGCTACATTCTTGAAGAATATCTGTATCTGACACCATGGCACTAGACTCTAGAGCTTTCCTACTCATTACCAGCACAGCTGGTCTGGACAGAAAGTGCAATGGAATTAGTGAGTGAAAAACTCAGGTCACCCTACCCTGTATGAACTCCTTGAATCCTCAGTATTCCAGATTCTGCAAGGTGTGAAAATCTGGCTTGGATCTACTTGTCTAATTTTGCTCAAATTAGGCTGGACAACAAGGACATGTAAGATCCTTGAGAAATAGGCTGTAGTTGCATATGGAACATACCGTATGTTCTAGCTGGATGCAATCATCTCCCTTCCTAGAGAGTAAAGCTAAAAGTGAAAACAGCAGCAGAGGCCAGGGCCCAGCATGTGCTTTCTGGATTGCTCCAGTGCTCAAAAGCCTGTCTCAAAAAGTTTTAAATGTGTTGGGGGGGGTCAGTCACAGGAGGAAGGGAAGGTCACTGACTCTAGCACAGTGATGGCAAACCTTTTTGTACCTGAACTGCAACACAAAACCAACTTGTTTAAAAATAACTGCCCCTGCACTGCAAGGGTTAAATGCTTCTCTTCCCCCCCCCCCAGATAAATACTTACCAGTCCTCCAATCCCCCATTGGGCTAGACAAATAATGGCCACCACTGCAACCCTCTGCTGGACCACTGCACCAGTAGAGGGGAGTGCCGAAATCCAGGATTGGAGGACGGGTAAGTATTTCTCGATGGCGACTTATGGCTTGCATGCCCATAGAGAGGGCTCTGCATATCGGCTGTGGCATGTGTACCATAGGTTCATCATTGCTGCTCTAGCAGAAGCAATGTTGGATTCTGGCCAAGCTTAGCATTAACGTTTTTAAAAAATGAATAAAATATGTAGCCTGCATAATTAAACTATAAACTGTCCAGAGAGTACTTTAAGCACTTTGGGGCAATATAAAAGCAGCACACTTTAAAACCAAATGTAGTTCAAGAATTATCATTGTATGTTTCTCATACAGTGATAAAGAGATGTGGCAATGTGTCCAATAATTTCATATGGTATATTATAAGCTGGTGAGAGAACACTATCATTTATTGGTGTGCATTTTTCTCAATGAAGTTTTGAATACACTTAGACTTTGCACAGGTAAAGTAGTATATTCATTGACATTATTATTTAAAATTACAAATTACAAAAATCATTTAATTAATTCTATTAATTCTTGACAAAACTAGCATCTTTGCATATCACAAAAAAAGAAGAAAGAAATGCTCATCACTGAGGATCTGCCTATTTAACAAGGATGAAACAACAGACATATTTTGAAAAGGGAATGCTTATAAAAGAAAAAAAAATACAGAGACATTATTCATTAGGCAGATGTGTATGTAAGATACTATGAGTAATACACATGCCCAATAGAAAAAAAATGTGAAATGTGCATTGATTACAATACAAGAAAAACAAATATTCTCTCATGCATTGGTGTTTTATTTTTCTTTCTTTTCCTTCTTTCTTTACTTTTCTTTCTTTTTTGAATGACAGGAAGAAAATGGAGGTGGGAATTTAAAAAATCTGGCAAAACTGAGACTGGGGGATCTCTACAACCATCTTTTACTTTGTGAGTCTATGTTCTGTACAGGCCATCCCTGAACTAGAATTTGGCCCACAGGAATATCTGCATGTACCGTGTACTAGCACATAAATCTGGAATCAAATAGCAACTGAGATCACAATTAGTGTCTCTGCTAGTTACATGTTGACATTTAATCTATATGCTTTAATCCACATATTGTTCCTGGAGAGGTCTGGAAAATTGTCATTCTATTTAGAACCAACTTTTGAAACAACAAGATTGATCATGTTTCAAACAGGCAGCAAGAATTCTCTCAGAGACCTGCCTGTCTCCAGAAAACACCTGTGCTAGTCTTCCATTCTGATTTTTTCAACAATCTTCTTGACATCCATTTGTGATGACAAGTGATTAATTTAGAGCCAATAGAAGAAAATGATATACGTATAGTTGCAAGAGTTAAAGATAAGATATACGGAGATAAGATTGCACTTCTTTTTAAGCAGATCTTTGTATACAGATATTTAGAGTATTGAAAGTATATTCAGTACTCTAAATATCTCTTCTGATAGGTTTCTTGCATTTTTCCTCTTTTCATTTTGAAGTGGAAGATTTTTTCCACGACAATACAAGTCTCTCCTCTCTAGGTATCCATGAATAATCCATTCCAGGATCAACTGTGGATACCTGAAACTGTGTATACAAGGGAACCCACCCAATGAAGAGAGCAAGAGGAGGAAGAAGAGCAAGGTAAGTGTGTGCATGCACTGTGAGCTGGGTTGCAGTACCAGGGACCATGTATAACTGAAATCATGGATACTGGATCTGTGGATATGGAGGTGCTGTACATCAGGAAAACTGTAAGACAGAATTAATAAAATTTTGCTGTTCACCATATTGAAAAATGTTATGAACTGATACAAAATTAAAAAGCAGTGGAGCCTGCTATAATGGCTCAAATAGAAAGAAATGTAGTGATGCAACTCAAAACAACGTGAATGCCAGGAAATGCACTGATTTATATGTACAAGAGAGAGATGAAAAGAATAAGTATAACTGAGGTTCTTTTCACACATGTGATTAAGCCCTAAGCCTGAAGTCCATTGCAATGGCTGAGGGACAAGATGTGAGACAGATTTTTATATGCCTAAAGTTGGAATTGAGCCTTTTTGCACAATATATACAGATATATGTACAAAACTATTACAAGTCCTGTAGAGAATGGTGTATTCCTGGCACAGGATTGGCTGAAAAGTGCATCAGGTTCTGAAGGATGTGTTAGTTCCTTGTGCAGAAAAACAGGGGGAAAGTGTGGGTGATGGGGCCGCTGGTGCAAACATATTTCTAATAAAATAATTAGCTCCACCCTTCCCTCCTAAAACTGGCTGAGACAGTTTGAACTCTGCCAGGCTGCAAGGACCGCGGAACTTAATTAACATAACTCCCAGCAAGATAATGGGAGGACCATGATTGCTGCTTTGATTTGCATCTCAGCAAGAACCAGTTCTTGTAGTCACAGCAGTATTAACTCAAATTTACATAGATTCCTCACACACACACACCCGGACACTCGGAGTTCCTGGACAGGTAGGGTGGACCAATTCCTCTCCCTGGACACTCGGAGTGCCTGGACAGGTAGGGTGGACAATTCCTCTGTGCTAATGAGCTTCCTAAATTGTTCATTAACTACCATGCCTGGGTGAAACAATGCAACCAGCCACAGACCTATTGTGAGCAGAAGTTTCCCCATGATGTTCCCTAACAGCTGTGCCCAGGCGAAACAAATAGCCAGTGATAATCCTATTATCAGAAGATGTCCCCTCATGATATCACCCAACTTATAGAATAGCGCAACACATCAACACCCCAATTCTTTTGTCTAGAATCCATTCCCCTTTTGCAAAACTGGATCTATTGCCAGAAAAACTGAATTCCAGGTCTAAGACCCCCTCCTCTTGTATGCACATCCTATAGAAAGAATCTCTTGGTAACTATTTCCTGGTCACGTACATCCTATAGAATCTCTTGGTAACTATTTCCTGGTCACGTATGCTGTACCCCAACCCCTGGTTCTGGAATACAGAAGGTATAAAAAGCTCTGCCACCATTCTTCAGTGTGGACATTTTGCCTCTTGCTTGGAGGGGGACCCTCCTTCAGGCTGTCACTCTTTGTCTGATATATATGAAATAAACAGAAGCCTTTTGAAATCTCTTTCAAGTCAAGCCTTATTGGCAATTCATTTTGGCTTGAAAAATCCAGGGGCTAGCCCAGACTCAACATGGGGGAAGGGAGAAGAGGATGAGCTCAGGTTCCCCTTTTCACAGGAAGCTGGGAAATCTTGCTAGTGCAAGGGAAGTTTAGTCTGAGTGTCATGGCGGCACTTTGGAGATTTCTAAGAATGAGAAATACTTCAAGGACTTGCCACATTGATTCAAAAACTAGGAACCTGTTGCCAGGAACTGAGCTCTGATTTGCAGCCCAGGAAAGTTGTTTCATGAAACAGCTTATTTTTCAAAGCTGGGAAGTA